TGAAAAAAAGTTCTGCTGGTTAATAAAAAGTTTGAAAACCACAGAAATTCCCCAGATTAGAAAACCAAGGCCCAGAGAAGGGAAGTATCTTGCCACTGCTGTAAGTGGCAGCACAAAGGCAAGGAGAACCTGTGTCCCCTGGCCAGCACGCCTGGGCTTGTCCATGACCTGGTTATCCTGAGGTGGTCAGAGCTTCCTGGACTGGCACAGATGGGTTCTTTTTCTGAGGCATTTTCCTATCTGCATCCTTGGACTGAGTGAGCCTCACCTCTAGGCCTTGGAGGAGGCCCATGTGATAATCCTAAGGGAGAAAGCCTCGTCCCTGAAAACTGCTCATCTTCACTCTATCACCAAAAAGTCTGCATTGACTGGCCTGGGAGGCTGCTTAGAAACACTGGTATTTTTGGAGGAAGTCTCATCTGCATCCCATGGAGGTGAGTCCCTGGGTGCCCTACTTACTGAAGCGACCTGGAGCCCAGCTGGGCCATGCCCACATTTTCTAGAGGCTGAAGCAAGGGCATGTTCCCCAACCCCTCCCTAGAGATTGTTCTTCTGGGTGGGCATGGGCCACTTTTGGACAAATATTTCAGGAATTCCAGGAAGGATTCCTCTGCCGGCCTCTAAACACCATCCAACCAATTCCCCACCTTCAATCCCACAGTCAGAGCTCAAAGTTAAAATGTAAACACACTAAGATACAGAAGGCTGGTAGCAGTCCTTTCAAAAGATCAGCTTTTCTAGGGGCCAGAAGTTAGGGTCCATGAAAGACTTGTGGGGAGAGGGAGAAGATGGGAGGGTCAGGATACCTCAGTTTTTGCTTTGGAACCTTGCAGAACACTTTCTATGAGTAGAAAGTCAAATGCATCATTGGGAGCTTTCAGCAAGGGTTCCTGCAACTGTCTGGACTCAATATAAAAATGCCCTGGCAAAAGGCTAAAACCCGCTCACCCTCTGATTTAGCTTATTTGGTTGTACCATTGCCACAGCCTGCTCAGAAGGATGCCAACCCCCCAGGCCTGGCTGCTGGACCAAATTCGTGCTTCACTGCTGAGCTATGAACCCTGATGAGCAAACAAAGTGGTAATTTGGGGAGACCTGGCCTCACCCTCAGGCCAGGCAGGGAAGCCTCTTTACCTGGAGCCACATGACCAGGGGCAGTTCTGAGAAGTTCTTGCATGGGTTGGTGGCATAGTAGAGCCACCAGAACATGTGGGCATCCTTGCGGACAGTCACATAATCCCAGACTTCCTTGCCCTCCTCTATGGGCCAGTCGATGACAGCTCCTGAAACAGAAGCTAAATTTCATTTCCCTGAAGAATGTCTAATGTCCAGGTAAATACCAAGTCTGATAGAGATGGCCATGACAGAGTAGAGATGATTT